TTCATCTGACTCATTCATCTCCTACTGTACTGTCTAGTCCAGGCGTGGCCGACCAGTCAGAGGCAAAGAGCCGTGTTACTGCAAAGAGCCTAACATGTGGCTCCTGAGCCGCAGGTTGGCCATGCCTGGTCAAGTCCTATTGAGAGTTTATGGGCGGAGCCTATCTCTGCATGTCATCGGATTGGGTTAGGGTTAGGGTCATAAACCCCCCGACAGTGGGCCAAAAGTGGCCAGGAGATCCAACCGGATCTGGCCCTGATTAGATCAGAACAGTGATCCGGCTCTTGCTGTTTTACTTTTGGTCCTCCAATGAGACGTCATCGGAAATATTGGCTTGTAGCCTATTGGATTTTGAGGAAGACGGAATACTATTTTGTGGGAGGAATTCTGAGTACCCATTACTCACAAGACAGAATGGCTAATATTCTGACTCTGACGTAAGATCACTAACAATTGCCCCATTGCTTTGCCCTGCACAGTATTAACTGGTCTTAAAGGAAGTCAACATTTTACACATTAGGTCCCAAAGTGGGGGTGAGGGTGGAGGGGGATGGGAGGGAGAGCAAGGCGAATTAATTAGTAATCTTCTCAGCGTTGTTCAGTTTTGCAGGAACTCCCGTCCCTGGACTCCTTGACAACACTCCACACTGAACGACTGTTCATTTGTGCTGCTGCGCTGTTATCAACAGTTGGATGAAAACAAACTCTTCATCACTGTCAGCACGACTGCAGGCAGCGTGAAATATTCCTGGCGCCGCTGAGATAAATTATGACTTAGTGGGAAATAACACCATAATAAAGGTAATACATGAAGTGTACTCAGTAATACACATCCAGCAGGATTAATGGAAAGAAAAAAGGCATCAATTACTATAAAATAATATTATCAGAAGGTGACAGATTTCTGCCAACACCTGTCATTAATCACTGGGTCTGAAGCGACACGTTCAGCCTCGTGCCTGCGACACTTCAGCCCTATTTTTTTTTTTTTTTTAATGTAAGAGAAAGTGAATCAGGGACTTTTTATTCTGGCTGGGAAACTAAAAATATTCAATGTTTAATCTTCTCATTTATAGTGTTCCCTTCAGAAGGAGCCACCATGGATCACCCGCCCTAATCTTACCAGGTTAATTGAACTCTTCTCCAGTTACAACAACCATTTCTCCCCCATTCCACCTTCAAATCTTCTCTGGGTTCCTTCTTATTCTCTCCTGTCTTGCAGCTCTTCTTCTCACTCAAAACTGTTCAAGCGTAGCTCTGCCTCTTGTGTTCCATTCCTAACATCTGCCTCCTCTTCTCATTCACCAACCATCTCCACGTCCACTTTCACTCCATCCATAAATCTTTGTCTCTGTTCCTCCTGTCTCGCTGCTCCAACTCCAAAATCCATAACCACTGTGTCTCCTCCAAACCATCTCAACCATGTCCCTTTACCGTCCCTCTGATCTGAACTTTTCTGATCCATCCTGTCCCCTCCAGCTCAGCCTTCTGTCTATTCTTGTCAAATAACAAAACTACTAACACTTTAGTTTGTGCCATTCCGTTACACTTGTTCCGGACATATAATCTCATATTTACAAGTCTCTGTAATCGGACACTTTTCCAGGTTCAGTCGTACTTGCTGGAAGTTTTTGGCTTCCACGCTGGAGTGTTTTATGGAGGCGTTAATTAAGAAGCTGGCACGGCTTAGGTTCACACAATCACTGGGAGAAAGGGATAACAACAAGACAATTACCCTGCCTTCTGTCTGTGTTATTTACAGGGCAGAGAACGCTGTTAACCCATATCCAATCCCTGTTCAGCCAAAGCCAAAGTTCACTTTGACACGTATGAAAACGTCTGTAGGCGAAAAGATCCACCAATCGCTCACCGGACCTTTGATTCACTCATCCACAGCAGCTGTGTGCAATGAATGAAACCACTGCGACACCCAATAATAACTGCTCTTCTGAAACCGTGGATAACAAACGACTCCGACGTGCTGGACATCGACTTCATCATGGATGGAATGGATTCCTGGCTGTGACCACGGCGACAGAAAGAAGACGGCGCACGAACAAAGACACAAAGTCATTCATCATCCAACCCTACCTTGTCATAGTATCGTATCTCGTAGTCAAGGATGATTCCGTTGGGCTGTTCGGGCGGCGGCCACGACAGTGAGAAGCTGCGGCTGGTTGATCCCACCTGGTGCATTATGGGAACAACTGAAGGAGCTGTTGGACAAACAAAAAGAAAATAAAGAGTGTGAGTGAGTGAGACCCTGGACACAGTCATGTGGACCAAAATGAACATATGTGGTTTGACCAAACAATGTACAAATACAAATCATTTTCATTAGTTATGACACAGTATAAACCATTGTTTCCCAAAGACTGGGTCGCAACCCTCTGGTGGGTCGCATCATGTTTCCCAGCAGTAAGAGAGCGAGGTGCTCAGTAACACACCACAGCTGTGCAGGATTCGAACCTCCTACTCTCTGGTTATACAGTATTGAGACTTATCACTAAACCAAGTCTTAGTCGTAGTCAGAAGACGACTAAGATTTTAGTTGAAAATTAACATCTTCTCATTTTATTTATATATTTAAAAAATCCACATCTCTGCAGTACCGTTATAGCCCTCTTGGGGTTTCCCGTTAAAGACTTCTCTTTTTCATGATTATTTTACTATCCTGTGTAAGTGCAGCCAAAAATAGACTTGTTTCAACTCCCGTCAGTTTCCAGGCATAGAACTGGTCCATAACTGACTGGGTCTGTGGTGTGACAGTGGATTATGTTTTGATTCCAGATGATTCCGTAGCCACCGCAAGTGTACTATATGATGCAGCAAGAAAAGCGGCTTTTAAATCTAAATTTGGGTGGCAGCTGAAATATCCCTTGAGTCTTTCTCTATAAAGTCCTGATGTAGCACTAACTCAGCTCAGTTTATAGTCTGAGGATTCTGGTGTGGAGAGACTGAGAGTGAGGGAGAGAGGGGGGAGGGAGGGGGAGGCAGAGGATAAAGATGTGAAAAAAGGAGAAAAAAGAGTGTCGAAGACAGAGCCAGGGCAAACAGGATGGTCGACAGGGAGAGAGAGAGAGAGAGATAAAAAAGGGGAAAAAAAAAACGTTTTAGGAATTTTAAGTTCAGCTCAATTTCCTTCACAGCTCAGACCGAAACTCCTGCATCTGATCTAAGTCGTTTGCATCTGATTTCTTTTCCAAATGTGACCTAAATCTAAAATCTAAGATTTCCTTCAATTCAAATTCACACGTCCTCCTCGATTTGAAGATGACGGAGACGGACGCAGCAAATAAAGCGTAAATAATAAGGGAAAAGTTGTTGACTGCACAGCATCTTCCACATGGACACACACACTCGCCGGTATGTGTAGCATCTATAATGACTTCCTCGATCCAGGTGTGTGACGTTTGGTCTCCTGTGTGGGTCACTCTGGGGGGCGTGGCCTGTTCACACACTTTTAACAACATTTAACATTTAAACAGCAACAACACCCGCGGAGTGGACGTAGCCTTACATTCCTCTGTGCACACACACATCCTGGAAATGTAAACACACAATCACACAGAACACACAGCAGTCCACACTCACCAGCCTGATTGGTTGTGATGTTGATTGACACTTGCTGGGCGGGATAAGGGCTCTTGTTGGAGACTCCGTTGATTGCCTGCAGAGTATAAAGTGTAATGATGGCTATTTAACCTCAGAGACGTTCATCATTAGCTGTCGTTGCTAACGCTCAGTTCCACAGTGTCATCGTGATTGCTACCAGCTATTTGACCCTTTTTGTTTTTTTTCTAATCACAAGTGTGTGTGTGTGTGTGTGTGTGTGTGTGTAAACAATTGGCTACAATATCTACATATTGATCCGACAAAAATCCTTCAAGTCCTGCAGTTTTTGAGGCTTAGTTTCTGGGAACTCACGGCAGCAGACAGATTAATGGTGATTCATTTATTCACACTATGCAAATTATTGATATCAGTTCATCACTGGAATGTTAAAATGTCATCTGCAAATGATAGAAGCACAGGAAATGTGCATTAGTTCAGTGTTTCACTCACGATGGGTTGCAGAGTTTTTAGGTCAATGATTAAAGGAGCAGAGTTGAAAGCTGTTTTTAACAAGTCTCATATTAACATAACACACGCATGGACTGGAGCAGCTAAATAGAACATGATTATTATTTACTTTAAACTTGAGTTCAGAGGGTAAATACAGTATATGATGAAATAAAAAGTAAGACAATCATCAAAAACAAGAAATTAATAAAAATATATTCATCAATGTTTAAAAACATATAAAGAAAATGTATATGTATAAAATGTATATGTATATTTAACAATATATTACATTCATCAAAGTTTAAAAACATATAAAGAAAATGATATGTATATGTATATATGTATATGTATATTTAACAATATATTAAAGGTATATATATATAAATATGACTTTCCAGGAATAAACACAATTCAGAGGTTTCTCAATCATATCTTTCCTGTGTTTATATTTACTTTGCATAAATGTTATTTATTTCAATTTGGGTCCTGAACAATCAATTTTGTACAAATTTGAGGATGGATATTTTCTAAAACTGCTGGGTTGGAAACCAAATTAAGGCCAGAAAAAAAAAGCCCCATCTCTAATAATAAACCGTGCCAGAATATCAGCAGATTTATAGACTTGCTCTGGAGTTGCAGTTTGACACAAAATGATATTACTGAATATTGAGCCTGTCAGAACGCATTTCTGTGGCCTCTGTATCCTTGAGCGTCATAATGAATATCCGGCTTCTATTTGCATTTAAAGCCAGCTTTGAAAGCGTCAAGGTTATTTCTGACGTGGATATTGCGTACCAAGTAATGACTGCCCGAGTTGCAACTTTGCATTTTAATTACGTCTCCCATAAATCTGGGCCATAAATGGATGTAATTATAGTAAAACAGGAAGCATATTAAATATGGAAGTAGGATTTAGAAAGGAAAGAAATTGCTACTAAGTGGAACGTTGGAAATATGCCATGGCAACAGTGGAACTGGTGCAGTTTGACACAAGGAAAGTAGAAGAAAGAAAAAAAAAACAACCCAGATCTGCACCGATATGTGGTCAAATATATAATGCTGTGAGTCAGGTGTCATTAACTGCAGTGTAACCAGTGTGACTTTTAAGGATTTTTTTTTTTTTCGTTTACAATTCAGCATGTTATCATTTCAGGTTAGGGTGATAAAGTGGGATATAATCTGCAGGCAGCGCTTCCCAAAGGTGGGGTTGGCGCAGCGAAGACAAAACAAAATCCAGATCAAAGCTAGACTGTGGAAATGAACTAAGAGTGTCAGTCTCACAGCTGCAGTCACAGAGAAGATGTGGCTAAGGTTTGAAGTTTTTCTCTCATGATGATGTTTTTATTTGAGTACTTTCTTTATTTGTCCTTTGTCGGTAACGTGCAGGGATTTGTTTTGGATCAATGGGACTGAAATTTTGTGGGTGTTTTCAATGAAGACTGTGAAGCCTTGAGGACGTGTTGGAATGAGGTCATCATGGATATTCCTACCTAACAGTTTGGGAACCAAAGTCTGCAGGTACCTGGCTCAGAACTTTGCTCTTGACACCTTTACAATAGTAACCTTATCTTCTGACTAAGCTGTGATCCTGAGGCTTCTGTCCATCACAACAGATACTAATGAACTGATCTAGAAAAAGAAAAAATGGCGGTGCAGATGTTCCCACATGACATGTAGGATCTGTGAATATTTGAAGGTTTGATAATTAGCATTCATTTAAACTTACTTTCCACTTTGTCCAACTCAGATAATTAATTTTTTTTTTTAAAAAGGTCCCTGTGTGTGTGCAGACTAACCTGGACGTCAAAGGTGTACGCCGTGTGGGCCCGCAGCTTACTGATCTCCACCTTCAGCACCTTCAACCCGTGCCTGCCTGGAACGAACACCACGCTGTCATCGCAGGGCTGGCACGCTCGACGCTCGTTGCTGTGGCAACGGCGGCACAGGACGTTGTAAGACAGGTCAAAGCGGTGGCCCACATCACGGGGCGTGTGCCACTCCAGCAGCACTGACGTCTGGTTGACAACCGACACCACATTGCGCGGAGCCGAGGGGACACCTGGAGAGATGATGGAGGACAGTGAGGAGCCGACACTGTCTGGTCTGGGTCTGTCAGTCTGTCAGTCAGTGCACGTCGGTGTGGCCCACCTGGATGTCATCAAACTCAATTATGCTGTGTTTCCTACTAATGACTTACACACGTTTGTGTTTTTATCATCGCTTCATGCCTGGGTTTTTATATCAGAGTCAGCTGTGAAATGACCAGATTGGCAATTAGTTTATACGGATGCAGTAAAGCATGTTTGGGAGTGATTTAGTTAATGTAGTATTTTACTGACAAACATTTAATGTCAATGTGTAATGAAAGGAATTTCAAAACAATTTATACTTCATTAAAAATTTAGCACATGACATATTGGTGTGGGCCCGTCTTCCCCCCTGGGCTCATTTGTATGACGGGTATTTTCATGTCAAATGTGCAAATATTCAACACTGGCTCTGTTAGTACAACGTTTGTGGACTTGAAATACAGTAAGTGTGAATCAAATGTAAATGATAAGGAACGACAAAACATGCAGCCATTTGAAGCTATCGTATCGGTGGAGCCCTGGAGAGAGACCGCGCTGGGCTTTGACGTTATCTCTGTCTGGCCAAATAGATAGCGTTTATTTGGTTAGAGTACAGTAACGCTAGGTACACTGCATAGAAAGTTAAGATTGATAAGGAAAATGAAAAGGCACAAAGCCAGTCATGTGAATGAAGAAAAAAGCGACTGATGTGCTGTGCAGCAGGTTAGGGTGATAAAGGGCAAAATAAAAAATAGTAGAATCTGAAGAGATGGTGGGGAAAAAATAGTAAATAATTATTTTTCAATAATTCTTTTTTTAAGGGGAATTTTTCTCTGTTTAACCCATTTAATAAACAGTCATTATGACTCAAACCGTCTATAAGTAATCGTAGTTTCCTATCTGTGATGGAACCTAACACGAATACGAAAGTTCCTACAAAAACTAGTGTAAGATATTCTGGCTTTTCTTTAATTTCTCCCTTTTTTTAGCTATAACCATGGACTAGAAAGCCTTAAAAGTGCTGAAATAAAATAGTGATGTTAGTAAATACAATTTTGGTTGGTAAAAATATTAAAACATTTAAAAATGTAACAGGGAGAAACCTCATCCTTGCCCATGACAGCTACACTGGGCATGAGAGTAAACAAAAGTTAACACTCTGCCCTCGCCATTGATTTTGATGTTTGATAGTTTGAGTTTACAGTTAAAGCCAGTTAAACAAAGAAGATTCTGAAGCTTCAGTCTAGATTCTTTTTTTTGTCTCTTTTGTCAGACAGAATCTTTCACCTCATGCTGGTTTGACTTCTTTTTTTTTGAAGTGAGAAGAAAGTGGATGTTAGCGTCTGATGAGCCTCCAACACACAGCCATAGCTTCCACAAGGTTAAACACAGTGGTTTCACTCATTTGTGATGCATCTCAGACACTTCCAAACGGACATGTTGCAAAAAAAAAAAAAATGCAAAGAATATTCCATGGATCCAAGCATGAGACATGTCAAATCAAAGCAGAGGCTTGAGTCGACCTTGCTGATATTTACTGTGTGCATGTGTTGGGTTTTTTTTCTTCCTGCGAGACATTAAGAGGAGCACACACTGTGGCCTCAGCACTAACAACCAGCAGGAGGTCGGAGTCAAAGTAGCGTGATCTTATAAAGCATCCAGTGAGAAGCAGCAGCCATCAGAGGCTCACAGTTTGTACTCTTACTGTACACACAAAGTCCAATGCAGTCGTGCATTAATCGCACTCTATCGGAACAGAACAAGAACAAATTAACATTTTCGAAAACGAAAGTTTAACTCAGCCATGAAAACATATTTGAATATTATTCAACAACTGATCGCACTGAGGTACTGTCAACAACTTCACTGAAACTGTTACTACAGGAACTTCATAGTGTGAGTCTAACATAGAAAAACTCACACACTTTTTAACTCTACTGTACAGGTCTGTGAGGAAATTTGAATGATTATAATATAGATATATATATATATATAAAAATCACACTTTTTGAACACCATCCTGATATACTCGCAGGAATTGAAGAAAGAAAACCAGGAAGATCTACTTCACTGTCACTCTATTTTTTCTATTTAGTTTTTATAGCAATCTCTTGCTATCTAGCGGAAGCGTACTCTATTGTTGTGCCTGTCACCGTGGCATGGTCGAACAAAGACATATTTACAGAGAAGAAAGCCTCTTACGTAGGAGAGAAAGACAAAGAAATCTGCTTTTGAACGTGTTCCTTTTTACGTTTTTTAAAGACCGCCTTCATTGGAAGCAGGGATTGGCTCCAGTCGCTCAGTGAAATTCTCAGCAAAATAGATCATCCAGTATAAATGAATGGACCTGATGACTTTATTATGTGTCTCTTTAAAGGGATATGCTGATTAATCACTGTCACTGTTTCCATTATAGTTCAGTTTCCAACAAAGAGGACTTTCACAGATACAGGCCAAAACTATTACAAAATACAATCGGGCTGGAGTCGATCCCAGAAATCACTGTATGGACTGTATGGACAGTCTGTCAGGACCACATATAAAGACAAAACAACCGTCCACACTCACACTAATATCTGTTTTTGGAGCCATATTACCCAGAGAGCCACACACACAGTTGAAGAACGTCCCAAACAAAGACAAAGCCTATTTTATGAATGAACCATATCTTTTTCAACCCCCTAAAAAAATGTACTATCCAGGTCACCAGGACGTGCACAATAACACACATGGACACACATACACCGATGCACACACTCTCACGCTCTGGGATTAGCTACACAGTCACCAGGCAGTCCAAAATGATTCATGCTCCAACCTACTTCCACCATCTCTCTGTGGAACAGAGAGCCTGCATTTTTCTGAATCTGTGTCTCGTGCTGAAAGGCAATACAGTCTCTTCGACGCCCTAACCACATGCTCTCTTCAAATTGAAAGTCTGAGCAATGTGGCAGCATTATTACTTACTGATCCCCCAAATCCCTGAAAAGAAACTGCAGCACACTTGGATTATATGCAAAAATGAAGGCAAAGTTATAGAATAAAAAGCCTATTTGCCCTTCATGTGATCATTCATCAGTGAGATAGAGCTTCTCAGAACTCCTCTGACCCATGATAGCACTGACGTCCACAGCAGGAAGGTTCACTGCATACGAATGACTGTATGTTGATGTCTCCGCCTGTTAAAATGGACACACACAGGGACTCACTAGTGCACATGTCCTCGGGTTTGTCCATGTCTCCGCGATAATAGCCGTTACGACAGTCACACAGGGTTGCGGCCTCGATGGTGGAGCGACTGTTGAGCGGACACTGCTGACATAATCCTCCCCCCTGGGACGACTTGAAGGTTCCCTGAGGACAAGCTGAGAAGACATAAAAAAATACAGTCATTGTTCTCCTCGGTGCATCATTGATTTGTCCTGATTGCCAAATATTTAACAATCTTTGTTTTATTGAGACTGTGTGAGAAGAGTTACTACCAGTTGACAAAAGACAAGAGGATGTGGGGGTGGTGGCGGGAGGGTTTCTTAGAAAGTAGACCATTATCGTAATGCTAACATAATTGGTTTAGCTTTCAACAAAGACTAGTCCAAACAGAGGATTGGTACAATTTAAAGAGCGGATTATAACCGACCGATCAATGACGCAAATTGCCAGTAACAGTGTTATTATCTAAGTTTTCAAGTTGCAGAAATGAACAAATTAATTCTTCATTAATACAAACATGCAACAATCAGCACTATAAGAAAAAAAGATAGAACCTTTGGTAAAAAACCCTAAGTAAAAGTTTTGCTGAAAAATGACAAAAACTTGCATTATTTAGCATTTCGACCCAACAAACATGACCACACGATCGATGTTTGGGTCACGACCCACTGTATGAGAAACACTCGGTGTGGAAATCGTCCGTTGTATTTCACAAACTATACTATCTGGGTCAGACTTCTCTCTGGCCATGAATTTTAAGTGAACTTTTCTTTGTGACACTAAATTCATGCACAGATTCCTAAAGACGACGTTCCCCCCATTATTCATCCAGGAACGACTCATGCTGAGCGTTAAGCACATTCTTGTTATTCAGCCTGCCTCCATGCAGCTTCATCACTGGCACTGCAGTGCTCCTGGAAGAAGATTGCAGCAGTGATGGGTGTGAGAGTCAGTCTGCACTCGGTGTAACTGAGTGAAGGCCGCTTCATTCTCTTTGGTCCAACGTGAATCTTCTAATTTCATACAGTGGTGATTCTACACCGTTCGTCCTTTCTTCATGCTCAATATTCCACGGTAAAAAAAAAAAAAAAAAACATGTCTTCAAAACATACCTGGCTAGCTTTAAACGACTTTTAAATGTGCTGTGCGAAACTTTGGGCATTCCTAGTGGTCTCGCTTAGACTAAATTTAAGAATTTAAGAATGTGCTGATAAAATTATATCAACAAAATATATTCCATGTATTAATGAAAAAAAACATTGAATAAATTACGGAATCTAAAACACGTTTATCAACTTTGACCTTTTTATAACATGATTTATTTCAAAAAATAACAATCTAATATATATGTATATATATGCATATATACATACATATATACATATATATTGTTATTTCTGGAATGTGCATATATATTTAGAGTTTATATATATTTTAATTATTTATTTTTGTATTTAATTATGTATTAGTTAAACACCCCCAGGAAAACTGCTAAATTAGATCAGATTCCAGTTTATATGGCACTGGAGGGAGGGTCAATAAAAAGACGGCTTTTTAAACAACCACAGCTTCACACGTCACTCAATCAACAATATTTATCCACCTAATCTAGTATATGCCGGATTATACGTATCTTTTAGGAATAACAAAGACAAAGGCCGAGCGCCTCGTCCATTTAAGCATGGAAAGGGTTTGCGAGCGCTTTCCAGAAATTATTATTCATGACTGCTTTGTATGAATTCTTTATTATGTAGCTTAAAATAGTTAGAAGTTTAGCCGGTGAGCTGACAAAGCACTAATAATTTCACACTCACTGACGTTTTTACAGCATGTGAGGCAAACATCAAGTCGTGAGACAGCGGAACAATAAAAATGACCTGGATCTGATTCAGAACAACAGAATGATTAATATTGACAAGGTAAAACATCTGCAGGGAAATATAACGTTTTTGGCTTTTTATGTCGGGAACGTGTGGGTGCCCGGAGAAAAAGTGTCAAATAGAGTTTATGTGTTGAAGCAAATTTCTGCCTTGTGATCTTTTTAAAAATGTTTATTATATACTTTGATATGATGACTTTTTTGTATTTTCCAGGCTTTTACTCGTCGTTTTGGACTTTGATGGGTTTTAATGGGAATAAATGAAATGTTGAAAGCCGTGCCTCACGTTTTACTGCAGGACCAGATTAAGCTGGTAATACACGAGGACACTTTTACAGCACAGTTTTGCATATGAATGGCTCCAAGTGTTTCCAGGGACTCACTGTTTTCCTAATAAAATAATAACGTTGCTCACATGCTAATGTACAGGGTTACAGTGCGGCCTTGTTTGCATGTTTTCCAACTATAACACACCAGATAATCGGAGTCTCAGAGCCAAGATCCAACAGATGAAAAGCATGCAAATAAGCGTTTGGGCGTGTGGTGAAGATTAATTATGTATAAACATGTATATTTCTAAATATATTTTCTGCCATCGGCAGCATCTTTATCAGGAAGTTAAAGACTCACTTACCCGATGAAAGACAATTAATTCATGAGTAAATTTATTTTGACTTCTACATTAACGGCAGCTGGTCAGAAAAAAGAAAAGAATTCCTTATTATTCACTGTTAGTGTAACGGAAAAACATTGATCCTAACAGATTTGCTTAAAAACAACAAAAACTTGCATTATTTAGCATTTCGACCCAACAAACATGACCACACGATCAATGTTTGGGTCACGACCCACTGTATGAGAAACACTGGTGTGTTTTTTCATCCTAAAATGCTTGTTATTTGTTTCCCAGTGTAAATAGAACCTATATTAGAATATATCTGGGTAACCAGTGTTTCTGGGAAACTCACTTCAGAATCAACCTTTTAGGAATCGAACCCCTGACCCTGTGCCACCGAGTGCCTGTCCTCACTCACAGCTCTACCTTGGTAATATCTGGAAACTCCCTTCAGAAAGCCACAAAGACTACACAGAGCAAACAATGTCACATCTTATAACAACACCCTGAGTGTTGTGTCACACAAAGCCGCACTGTTGCCCACGTTTTTCTTTATCCTCCTATTTTTATTCCACTTTCTTTCAATTCCTTTCTTCTCTTCCAATCGTCTGATTTCCTTTGAAGTCCCCGTCGCTGGACTCCTTTGTGTTTCTCTCTATGCCATTTTGTGTCATGCGTATGCACACAGAGACATCTGGCCTCGGCAAGGTCATTTATCCAACAACTGTCCTCATGCATAGGGGGTGTGTCGCCATGGTAACGAGTCAGCTCCCGCCTAATTATATTATTGTATCTGCAGAGTTAGTTCTCACTCTGTTTCTGAGTATCACTGTCGAGGAGACGGGAGCAGCTCATGATGTATATGAATGGAAATGCGCATGCTTTGTGTCCTGAGTGCAGATAATACCCATAATGCCTTCTTTCTTCCAACAACACCGTAGTTGTTACGAGCACTTAAAGACAGACTCTCGCAAATATTTGCAAGATCCTTTTTCTTGTCTCCTTTGTGCAGCAACCAAACTGAAGGGTACTGAGGTACTACAGCAGAAAACTGTATTAGAGGTCAGAGCAGACGTGGGCAAACCTTTGACTCACAGGCCACGATTGTCCTGAAATTGAACAGGAGGGGCAGGTCAGGAGCAGATAAATGGAGCGTTCACGTGAACTAAGATAAATGACATGTAAAAGTCATGGCGAAAATAAAGGCTGAAATGCTTTTACCATTTTATACGCCATCTATTGGGGAAACGTGAGTATTGCAGGGAAAAGGCAAAAGTATAGCTGAACCGACCACATCTGGGCCCCGGGCCATAGTTTGCCAACACCTGGGTTAGAGCCTTGATTTATATGGTGATTAAGAAAAAAAGATCGTCCTCTAACATCCCTATGTTTAGATAATTCCATTCAATGACACTAACGAGCCTTTTCCTCTTACGTTAAGTACCCGGAAGGAACGACGTAATCATTAAAAACATCCTTGGCCGCTGATACTTCAAAACATCCCTTTTTGCGAAGGCGACCAATGTCACAATAATCTGTCAAAATCAATCACTCTCACCTTGAATCAATCCTTAAGTGCCTTCTCCACAGTGGCCATCATCCCGCGGACATCACTGACTTGTTTTCATCCCATTCAAAGAAACGGGGAAAACCATCGCGCTCAGTTCGTGAGTCAAATTAATCAGTCTAGGCTGTGATCAGTTTTATTGCCTTACTCTCCTAGCCTTGGTATGAGGTTATTTACTTTGTTTCCACTGGCTTCCTTCATTACTTCCTTCCTGATGTGATACTCCACCATCCCTCTGACATTCTCTGACAGGGCAGGACTAATTTGCAGCAGACTAATCTGGTTGGAACAGCCTAAACTAATTAACACGGGACGGTGCGGCCTCACTTATCATTTTGCCATATGTACGTACATCACACGCACGCACACACACACACACACACGGACAGGACCCCTCTTTCCAGGGAAAATAAAAAATGATGGGTATTACTTTGGAGAGGAAATGGGGAAGGAGGCCAGATATAAAAAGGAAAAAGAAGGAGGTGGAGAAACAGGGAATAATGATGAGAGGGAGCTGCAGCTATTTCTGTGCTGTGCTCACGTCTGTTTCCGCTAACATTAATGCTATATATGAATAATCCCGGGCTGCACCTCGGAGCAAAACTGTACACGTGTAATTTTTTCCCCCGAGATACGACAGAAATGACAAGCATCGCTTTGTCTCCACGTGGAGGATATTTACATATTTGACTCAGCAGGACTTCCAATCCGGAGATTTCCAACACCTATTAATACATGAGATTTCCAAAGCTAACCTCTACACCACAGTTAAAAATGTTCTTTCTTTTGGAACATGTTCAGCGACACCTTTTTTTTTTTCTCGGTCTCTAATACGATGATAACGACAGTTTTTTCGTTTATCCGTTTATTCGTGGTCGTGTTTGTGATGCCGCCTCTGTTTGTTCAGGCCTGACTGTGATACTGGCTGTAGAAACAGCACGACTCCTGTGCTTGTGTATATAAGAAGCATGTTTGCTGGCCATCGATTTGCTGTCACGTTGCCTTTGCTGCTGCATGCCCATATATAATATGACTGTGGCGTGCAGTGTTTGCCAGCGCAGGGAGATCCTTGAAAGGTGATTAATTCCGTTCACAAACACCTGTTCTTGTTTCCACCGGCGCCGCCTCATCAATATGTATCTTTACCTCGACACACGTTGCTGTTGTCGGGTTCATAACCCGCTCTGCAGCTGCAGCTGCCGATGGGAACCATCCACTCTCCGTCTCCGTTGCAGTAAAGCTTTATTGGCACGTCCACCTCCTCAGCGTTGGCAATGCAGTTCCCCCTGGCGATGACTAATGAAGTGGACTCTGCTCCGGTCAGTGTCTGCACAGAGGCATAACGACATGAATGCATGCGTGTGTGTGTGTGTGTGTGTGTGTGTGTGTGGGTGTGTGTGTGTGTGGGTGTGTGTGTGTGTGTGTGGGTGTGTGTGTGTGTGGGTGTGTGTGTGTGTGGGTGTGTGTGTGTGTGGGTGTGTGTGTGTGTGTGGGTGTGTGTGTGTGTGTGTGGGTGTGTGTGTGTGTGGGTGTGTGTGTGTGTGTGGGTGTGTGTGTGTGTGGGTGTGTGTGTGTGTGGGTGTGTGTGTGTGTGGGTGTGTGTGTGTGTGGGTGTGTGTGTGTGTGGGTGTGTGTGTGTGTGGGTGTGTGTGTGTGTGTGGGTGTGTGTGTGTGTGTGTGGGTGTGTGTGTGTGTGGGTGTGTGTGTGTGTGTGTGTGTGTGGGTGTGTGTGTGTGTGTGGGTGTGTGTGTGTGTGGTGTGTAACAACAGAGTCCGAACCTCTGGGAAGAAAGCGAAATTCTGCACTATGCTGGGGCATTTCTTGTAGAAGACCCTGACAGCCAGGAGAGACATGCAGGCGCCCAGATCCTGGAAGGCCAAGTGGAAGCCTCTGCCTTTGGACAGGAAGCCAAAGCTTCGCACCTCTGTGTTCACCTTCATCAGCCTGCCTCCAAAATCAACCTGGGAAAAACTCTCGTCCGCTGCGATGGTGTCGACCTGCCAGAAACAGAAGGAAACAAACAAACAGAGAAAGAAAGAAAGAAAGAAAGAAAGGAGTCTCACCACTGAGGCGCTGACTATGTTTGTCAGGGACTTTCAAAGCAAAAAAATAAAAATAAAATGAATAAACAAACTTGTTCAACTACATTTGTAAATATAAAGCATTTCCATATATTTCCAAATCAAAGTAAAGAAGTATCTGACTGGTACATATTGTGAGTACACAGATAAAAATACTCTTATCAGACTGTAAAAAACTGTATCGAGAGAACCTGAAGTCATATGTTTAAAGAAGAGTGAACTCCTTGTCATTGTGTCACAGCTCACCACTGCACACAACCAAATCTGACCTCTGCTTTTAACCCAGAACAGCAGTGTGGGGACGGTGCCATGCCAGTGGTAACTTGGCAGCTGGTGGAATCGAACCCAAAACCTTCCAGACCCAAGTCCGCTTCCTTAACCACTATCCCCCACTGTTTAAACCCCTTGTGTTAACATTTTCCAAAATCCTGACATTTTTGGCTTAAATACCTTGAGAAAAGGGGCATTGGCCCAGTACTCCACCCCCTTGACGCCCTCCGACACGGTCCTGTCGGCCTCCAGGTAGTACAGGTTGAAGGTCTCCTTACAGGAGCCCAGGACACTGGGGATGGAGGCGCAATCTCGTACGGTGAAGCGGATCTCCACGTAGATGCGGAGCGCCGCCCGCCGGTCGATGTACGTGGTGAGGAGCCAGTTGTTCTGGCTGGGCTCGAACACGTTACACACCTGGTACGTCCTGATGGTGTTGAGGTTCTCGTCGTAGCCGCTCACCTCCTCCCACTAGGGGGTGAGTGTGTTTGTGTGTAGAAAGGGCAGAAGGTGTGGATGAGCAGGGAGGAGAGGCCAGAATGATTAATGACTTCACCAAGACCTGACACAAATTAAACTTCCTCACTCCCCCGCTCCTATTTTGTCTCTCTCTTCGTCTCCCTTCTCTCATTTACTTTTTTTTTTTTTTTTTGCCCTGCTCTCCTCCCTTTTATTCTGTGCAGCACGGGGACGACCATTCATCACAATTAGGTCTGTTCATCTTAACACAACACACACACACACACACACTCACATGGTGTGAAAGAGATTAAGGACTCGTACGGTTAGTTGTCAGGGCGGAATTTGTTCATTTTCCTTCAATCATTCTCTCTCTCTCTCTCTCTCTCTCTCTCTCTCTCTCTATCTATCTATATATATATATATATATAAATATTAGCATGAAAATGCTGACTGTTATGAGCCAAACCACTGGGATTGGAACCCCCGTCCATTTTATTCTGCATGAGTAGCAGTTAATTGGTGTCACCTTGCATGTGTAATTATGGATTTTGACAGATTTCCTAATGCAGAGCTGTGAAAGTGTAGTCAAACTGCTCCACTCAAGGGTATTTGCTGAAACACACACACAGCCAAACACACACACACACACACAGAGGTTATATAATACAGTTTTTGACATTGTTCTTACTCCATTGGCTGGGAACGATATCCAGCCGAGCTCGGCCGTGGCTGTCCTCGTATCCATCACTGTCTCTGCAGAACAAAAACACAACGACAGACAGACAGACAGACAGACACAGGCAGAGAGACAGGTGAATAGAAGAACAGGTGAACAGGTTCACCATGACTCAGCTCTGACATCAACTGTTACAAGTGGATGTTGTGCTTCTGGTCCACAATGGTGCACGTCAGTCACTGCATACAGTGCTGCTCCTGCTGTTGCTGTCATAGAAACCCTAAATAAGTGGCCGTCATTGGCTGATTTTCTACCAGTGTGTGGTCAAAAACAAGAATAAATGTCAAAGTAAAATAAAAGAATTAATATCATCCTAGAATAGTGTGATCAGGGGAAAGAGATTCTGTAGCTCAGAGTTAAAATGTCCCACATGAAAATATAGAAGTTGTTTTAAAAAAAGTTGCATTAAAAGAATATTGGGATATTGCATAAGAACAAATAAAATACAGTGTACATGTTTGAATATTCAAATATTGCACTGGCTCGAGCCAATACTCAGGATCGGTATCGGTCCTGAGTATTGGACAAAATGAACATTAAAAAAACAAACAAACAAACAAAAAAACTGTAGTCGTCATATCCAATACCAAAGGCCTGAATGCTCAACTAAACTTTGCAACAGCAGCCCACGAAATGCTGGAGAAGAAAATAAAGTATTGGATTGATATCAGTTCTATTGAGCCATCCCTGCTATTTAAATATTAAATAAGAATTACTGACTATTTAACAATATTAGACATTGCACATTTTTTATATGAAAATGTTTCAAAATATTGAATGATGAATTTTAGTTGAACAAAACTGGGATTTGCTGAATAAAGTTTAGTTTAAACCGACTGACTGTTGGTGTTGATGCAAACACGACGCACTTCACACCTTCCACTGCCTGTTCTCTCTGCGTCGTCCTGTAGTCTGAGAGCTGAGGCGCCAGATTCCCAGGTGGTTAGACGCATCAATCACACGATAATTAGGCGACAATTTACACGTAGACGTTATCGTCTAAAGGCAGCGGAAGAAGTTCTCCAGGAGGAAAACAAACAGCTTCAGTCAGAACTTCAGAGCAAATGAGGCTCAGCTGTGTGAAGAGGAAACACAGCCAGGTGTGGCAG